GCCGCTCTGGAGGTCCATCACTACTGGGGGACCTTCATTGAGGACGGGTGTTAGAGGTGGTGCCCGCCGCTCTGGAGGTCCGCCCCTGCTGGGGACTCGTTGAGTACAGATGGCCGCCGCTCCGGAGGACACGTGTTGTACGCCTTCCTCGGCCTGCGCCCGGCACGCTCGGGACACGCCCGTCCGACCCTAGTATTCATGCTTGACCGAAAAGTTTGATGAATGATATGCACTCACGAAAAGCTCCGACAGGATAAATCACCTCGCCGTGTTTTGCGCAGCCTCTTGCCTCTTACCTCTCCCTTCTCCCCTCTCCCCGGCCCCACCCCCGTCCCTCTCTCTCTCTCCCCCTCTTGCGCGCTCTCTTCCCCTATCTCTCTCTAATTTGATAAACGGCTCCGGTTACTCTATTCTCCGCCGCTGCAGTCGCGCGCGCCGCGTGTGTCGCGCGCCGTCGTTCGTTACAAAACTCGAAATAAAAAAACAAATTTGAGGCCTTCATCTCTGTCCCTGAAGCGACGCGCTTTCCCAACGAACCTGGCCGGACCGCGGAAAATATTTCACGGTGATAGTGGTGTGTCTGTGTGTGTGTGTCATCTCTCAAATTTATCGTCGGATCAAAATTCCAGCCCGCTGCCAGACTTGCATGCTAAGCGAGGGCCGGGCGCGCTTGCGATGCGCCCGCGGGTGGCGTGGCGGTGAAGCTGGGAGAAAAGTGGCCACACTCAAGTCACAAAATCATGGTATAGGCTCTCGAGGCGAGGTCCCCCTGGCGACCTTATACCGGAAAGAGCGAAACTACAGGGCGCTGAGTACGAATTTGTTGTGCCTTCGCTGGAGAGTGCGCGGCATGGTGGACGCGCGGCGCGTCCACTGCTTGGTGATTGGACGGGGCTAGCTCGTGCGCAGGCTGCTTCTTGTCCGAGAACTCAGAGCGGCCACGACGACGGCAGAACTCTATGTTCTCCTTAGGCATTCCTCTAGAAATTGTCCGCAATGCGGCCAGAACCACCTTCCCGCCGCGCTTGCTGCTGCGCGGCTGACTTGGACTTCACTACCCCCTTTGCTCTGCCCTGCCGAGCCGCGCGCTGACGACACCGGCCGCGTCTTCATTAAGGAGAAGTGAGCCCACTTTGCACTACACCCGAGGACGCTCTCGTCACACGCATCCCGCGGCGTTGCGTGGACTTTCAATCGCTTCGGTCTCGTTAGTACAGTCGCAGGTTACAGAACGATTCTAATGTAATCAGCGAAATTTTTGTTTTGTTTTATTTTGTTTTGGAGAAGAGTGATGAGCCTTGTGTCTTAACAAATTTAAGTTAATGGCGAAGGCCGTCAAAGATTTTAGCTTAAATTACGAAATTTCCTTAAGTTCCAAGACTTTTTTTTGATTTCAATAGCATACGCCATAAGATCGAAGGCCGGGTCTTGAAATTTTAGAAACCTTTTTTTCGCCTTTTTTTTTTTTTTTTTTGGCCGTGTATTATTGTACCGTGGTGGTGAGCGGTTTGGGCGTCTTACGTTTTCGCGCACGCGGTTTCGCGGCCGCGGGGCTCTGCTATGGCTCCTCCCACGCGCTGTCATGAGCGCCGTCACGGACGAGGCTAACGCGCTCGCACGGTATACCCCCGCGGGCGGCGCGGATAATCTCATAGCTGTTGTTCGCTCATGTCAGCGGCGCCTTGCGATCGCTTTTTCGTCACGATTATGATGCGTGGAGGGGAGAGGGGGGGGGGGCTAGAACCGCTGTTGTACGGGGTCATCCGGAAAGAGAAGGTAAAGGGAGGGGGAAGGCCCGGGCTGGGCACCGAGGATAAGATTTGCGTAATATAACGCGAGGTGGGACAAGACGTCTATTCGCCTTGCCGCACGCACGCCGTGCCCGTGTGCCCCATGGTTGCTGCGAAAGATATTTTCGCCAACTGACCTGCCACCTCAGCCTCAGGCACCACGCAAAACTAGACAGACAGATACACACACCTGCTGTTTGGGGCGTTGCGCCTTTAGGTGCCGCGAGCAAAATGGGTACAAGGTGATGAGTCTACAACCGATTAGTACACACACATCCTTTTTTATTTATTTTTCATACCGTAATCAAGATCCGTCTAGAACACTCCTAGTCGACCGGGGGGGAGGGGGGAGGGCTGCGTAATGTGAAAGAACTAAAGACGGACTTATACGTTCTCTGTCAGGGACGGTAGCCGGTAAGCGACAGGTAGTGGCGGACATTTGAGCTTGTCGCTCGCACCTCTCGCCTGCGGCGCGCATCCCCCCCTTTCTCTTTCTCTATCGCACTCTATCACTCTCTCATACACACTTTTGTGTTTCTGCCCCGCCCCTGCTCTCTCTGTCTCTCTGTCTCACACACACACACACTTTTGCTTGTCCCATGCCGTGAATACCATTTTCGCATGGTCGTATAAGCCGAGCCATTTTGATTCGCTTCACTGCGCGTGTCCAGTTCACAGTCACTCGGGTTGTGTGTGAGAGAGGGGGAGGGGGGGAGATGAAAGCACGATAAAGAGGACAGATAAACACTCTCGGGACGTAAGCCCAAGCGCAAGCCTTTTGAGCAGCGGGGAGTCTTGGCGGCAAAGGTGTGGGTTATTGGAGGATAACTGACCGTCGCATTTTTACGAGGACGTCAAGGTATGAGAGAGAGAGAGAGAGAGAGAGAGAGGGGGGGGGGGGGGGGGAGTTGAGGGCACTCTTGGGGTCTTGTGGGGTTCCTCCGTTGGCTAAATGCTTTCTAATTATTCCCCGCCCCTGCCACCCTAATGCAGCGTGGTTCAGGTCGTCTGCATGCAGCCCTCGTACCACTCTGTCCCACTCTTCTTATCGGTGCTCGAGCGACAGCAGACATGTGAGAGCGAGAGAGACAGGCGAATCTTTATTTTGGTCTCTCCGTGTTCTTTTTTTCTTTCTTTTTTTGTGTGTGCTGTCCTTGGCAGTCGCGCGGCTGGCAGCCTGGACCATATTCAAAATAACGAACGGTGCACATCGGCCTGAACCGAGCGAGTCGGGGCGGGGCGGTGGACTGCAGCACCACCGGTGACACCTCCTCGACAAGAACTGCAAGGAGCCAGACTGCAATCGTGCAAGAGCAACGCAACTCCGACAAGAGGAATCCGATCGAGATGCAACTTTTCGCGAACGTTCCGTGTGTGTCTTTATGGCGAAGGACTGTAATTGTGTGTGTAATTTAGGCGTTGTAAAAAAATAACGCACGTACACACACACACACGTTGTCCGGCTACCGAATAGCGGGCAGGAGAACACAACCCCCAACAACACAATAACACACGACGGCGCGCGTTACAGGTAATTAAAGATTACTCGCTCGTTTTATCTTTCTCTTTTTTTCTTCCCCGTTCTTTTTGCCGGCGGTGCTGCTCGATTGGGGGCCATCGCGTCGTCTCGCCGCGCGTTTCTGAGGTAATTGTTTTTCGCCGCCACGTTCCTTTTCACTCCGACGCGATCGACGTGTGTTATTTTTGCTCGAGCGGATTATTTCGTCTTCTGTCAGATTTTTTTAAAACAAAAAACCCGCCAAACGTACTGGAATAACTATCCTGATCACAGGGTGTCACCCTGCCTTCGCCTGGCACTTCAGAAATTCACGGTGGTCGAACGTTTCTAACAAACTACCCTTGAATTGAGTTACTTTCAAAAGTGTGCGGTGTGCATACTCGATTGGATATGATTCTATTTGTCGTCAGGTTGTGATGCAGTCCCTCATCCCTTCAGACTGCTCTCCTGATCGCGTCGCGAAAGGCGGAGCCTGAAATATGATAGTGATGTAGATAAACCGTATCCAGTCCATTAGACCGGTGGCGTCCATGAGACAGGGGGAAGGGGAGGGGGGGGGGATGCCGCTGCTTTGAGTGGACGTGACGCGAACCCTGTCCTGCCAGCAAACCTCGACGATTCAGTCTCGCCCTCGGCGGAAAGGTTGCTTGAACTTACCTTTTAAATTGCGTTCAAAAACCACTCAATTCAATCATTATTGAGTGTACGGCGATGACGAGCCTTCCGTGGCTGTAAGGCACTATCAACCAGAATGTTCGCCCGTCATTCTCCGTTACGATACTGCCAAGTTCAACCTCTCCATCTTCTCATAGCGCCTGCTAGGTAGGCAACATCCTTCACGGATGGCATGCGTGTACTGCTAGGTGGCCTACCCCCAGTTTCACAGGCGCCGAGCTCCCTAAACTTGCCGAATGAATCTGAGAAAAAAAACCCTGGCATACTTTCTGGACCCTCTCTAATTCGAACCGCCTACGTTCGCAGTGTCTGTCTTCATACAATTTTGCGAGTACTGTGCGGGACGTTTATGAGTTGTGTGGAAGGAGATGTGCGCCACAGCAGCAGCCGGTATTGGCGTAGTGAGCGCGCACTCCCTTCGTCACTCCCTTGCGCTCCTTTGGTCCCTCCCCGGGGAGAGAGGTCGTGGGAGAGCTGCAGCGCCGGCGCTGGGCGAACAGGTTGCCGACAGGCGACGCCCCGCCACGTCAGGGGTCTCGGCGGCAGAAGCGTTGTGGCGGGGCGCCGGCGCATGAGTTACTGCTGGGGCTGTCCGTGCTGTCCGCTCAGAGGCGCGCGGCTGTCCGAGCGTCGGCCCGCGCCAGTGAGAAGGTGCCCCGACTGTCCGCGTAAGGGATCGTCCTAAAAAAAAAAGCCTGCACTTTTCAGTCGGCAAGTTGCCGCGGGGACGTGGGCGCCTGCGAGACTCCGGGTAGGCCACACCGCAGTACACGCATGCACTGCAGGACAGATGTTGCCTACCTAACAGGCGCTAGTGGATCGAAAGACAGACGCCCTGTCTAGCTTTTCTAGCTACCTCGGAGCCTCGGTATGCAGCAGTTTGTGTGAGGACTTATGCCACCTATGCTCGTACTCACCCTGAGGCTCACCGATAAAGGTTGCCGCCGCCTCCTACAAATTATTTTCCAGCCCTCTCTTTCGCACTTTGTTGACGTTAAACTCTTGTTGGTTTGCAGGGACGAGCGGCACATTGACTTCGCCGAGCAGGTGGAGAGCGTCGCCTACGTCCTATGCGGCGACGGGCCCCTAGACCTGCACCGATTCTGCCAGCTGTTCCAGGCCAAAGGGGTGAGTACACCTCCGAACGGAGTCGAGTGGTCAGGTCAGCAAAGGTGCTCCCTTTGCGGACATTTGTGAACCGCCTGCAGTAGACAACCAACCTGCAAGTCGGCACGCGTACAGTATCGCATGAAAAATGTACTGCGAGAACCGGCCACTTGCCGGTCTATCGTTGTGACTGTGACTGTTTGTGCGACCATCACGGCGCGCGCGTACGTTTAGGCGGTTTATGATTGTGATTTTCTTCGCGCTTCACAACCTTATTCGCCCCTTATCTGTTTTTTTCTTGTTTCTCGAGCTGCATGTGTGCGGTAATGCAAGGCCGCGTGGGCCACGGGTAGTCGGTCGCCAAGGGCCGCTAAAAGGGGGCAGGGAAGTGCGTGAGCTGCTGACGCGGCCGGCCCCGGCTGACGTCGCGGCTGACATCGGGGGGCGGGCGGCACCAGGCACGGCGGCGGCGGAAGGTTCTTGCTTTGCGCTGCTCCAATCGGTGTACCTACATGCTACACACCCAGGTCGCCAGTCGTCGTCTTGGATTTCTTCCCCCCGGTCCGTGTTAAAAAAAGCGGGAGAGCGACTCTTGCGGTGGACCGCTGAAATAAGATAAAAAGGACGAGAACCTTGTTGAGGCAGGACGAAGCAGCGAGGGGAGCAGGAGGGAAGTGTCTGGAGCGCAGCATCGCCCGGCCTGACATTGGAGCTGACAAATCAATGGGTTGGGGCCCCTCCGCTCGGTGCAGCCGGGCACACGGCCGGCCCGGCACCTCACCGCCCCGCCCCGCCCGTGCACCTGCCATGTAAGGACCTCGTCAGTGCAAAGCCGGGCCAGGTGCCGCGGCCACACCGGCAGGTCGGCCGGCCACTCCGGGCCACTCCCCCGCCGCCGCGCCTGCCCCGCCACGCCTCGCCCCACCCCGCCCCGCCTCGACACGCCCCGCCCCTACTGTCGCGCCGGATGGAAGGCGGACGGACGAAAAGAAAAAAAAGGGAAGGAATGGAAACCTTAACGAGATGATCTGGAGGGCAAGAGCAGAGCGCGCAGTAAAAATGGAGTGTGTCGTGGTCCGGCTGCTGGACTCCACCACCAGCGACCGGCCGCTCTGGACGTCCTGCAGCGGCGTGAAGCAGGTCGCTTGTCGCTCGAGGAGGACAAATGCACGGAGTGATCTCTCCCGCACTATGCCTGCTCCCCCC